TCTCCTAGCTTCATCCGACGTTGCCACTGTGCAGCCACACCGATTTTGAATCGCAGGCTCGAAAACGTTAGTACGGGAGAATACGTCTCGACGAAGTCAATCATGAAGCGCTGCGTGAAGCCTCTCGCAACTAAGCGAGCTTTAAAGCGCTCGAGCTCTCCCCGACAATTGAACTTGATACGGAAAACCCATTTAGACGAAATCAGCTTTTCACCAGGAGGTCTTTCCACCACTTCCCAAGTTCCGTTGGCCTTCAAGTCAGCGAGCTCCTTCTCGATGGCGGCTTTCCACGCCGGCCACACAGGGGTCCGCCTCGCCTCGGCAACGTTACGTGGGGTTGCTGGCTTGGCGGTCGAGAGCAAGAGAGTAGCATAGCCGGCGAACTCACTGATTAGATCCTACCTCAGCTCAAAGTCATCCCTCTTCAGCTTCTTGCGAGATCCGAACACACGTCGAAGGACTCCATCGCTAATTAACCTTCCTGAGTCCTCGTCCTCTTCGTTAAAGCTTTCTCCAGGATCATCGCTGGGTGTTTCACGCCGCTTACGAGCCGATTGAGTCTCCAAATCGAGTGTTGCAGCTGATGGCGCCACAGTCGATTGTTGTGGCTGATCATCGATTGAATCATTCTCACCATTTAACTCCGCAAGTACCTCCTTGTTTCAGGGTCGTTGACGTCCATCTTCTCGATATTTTGTACGTCGGCGCTCACGATGATCTTTTTCGTCCGCGGGATAAGCAGTTTGTATCCCTTTTGGTTGTTACTCATGCCGATGATCACAGCCTTCTCGGCACGGACCTTGACAGATGCAGCTTTCTTGTATGCGATGTGAGTTGTGCACCAAGAACCAAACCGCAAAATATTCCCCACCTTGGGCGCGTTTCCGGTCAGGACATGTAGCGGTGCCTTGTGCTGCATTAGCACGAGTTGGCACATGGTTGCACACATACGAGGCAAATAGCACTGCATCGCCCCAGTAGCGTTCGGGAAGTGTCGACGTCCATAGCATAGCACGCGCAGAATTCATTAACGTTCGGTGCATGCGTTCGACTTTGCCGTTAGATGACAACTTATCTGGAAGAGTGAGTTGCTGTCGTATACCACGATTCTTGCAGAGCTCCACAATCCACGACCACATAATTCGCAGCCACCGTCGCTGCGAATCACCTTCACTGTGACCCCGAACGGTTTCTCGTACTTAGCAATGAAGTCCTCGAGATGCTTGGTAGCTTCATCCTTGGTATACAGCAGGTACACACGATTGTAGCTCGAACCATGGTCTACGATCGTCAACATGTCATTGTGTCCCTGTCGGTCTTGCTTGATGTCGGTCTTCAAATCGACAGCAAGTACAGCACCTATTTCATCAGTTGGTGCTGATGTCGAAGTATCGGTGGTTGGCTGCTTTGATTTGGTCTGCTTAGCTTCAGCACCGGGTAGACAGAACTTGAGCTTCTTGGACAGCACATTCATGTCACTAGTCAGACCGTGTGTGTGCATCTTGAGCAGGTCCTGGAAGTTGATGTGTCCCAACCTGCTGTGCCAGTGCTGAAGTGTAGCGCTCGCAGCATCAGCGAACATTGCTACAGTGCTGGTGTTGGGCTCCACCATTTCGCCGTCCAACTTCCACAATTTACCACGGTGATTTGCTGCAGCAATGGTCCTCCCATTGCGGTCCTTAAGCTCGCAGATTTTGCTCGAGTTGAACTGGCACGAGATACCGTGATCAGCGAGCTCCGTGATCGATAGCAGGTTTTGGTGTAGCTCCAAAACACAGTGAACTTCGCGGAGTAGCACAACCTTGTTAGTACGGCCGTCACCCACACGAATCAGGCAGCTGCCCTTCATACTAGCCGTCACTACTTCACCGTTGGCAACTGTGATGGTCATCGTTGATGGCACCGCTCCAATCAGGACATCCTCTCGAGAGCACATGTGATGAAAGGCACCTGAATCGACGATCCAGGTCGACGTCCTCTTTGCAGAATCGTCGATACCTGCTGCAGCCATCCACATGCTGGCTTGACCATCGCCGTCATCGCTGGTGAAGCTCGAGTCATCCTTGTCGCTGTCACTGCAGTGCGACATGGCCTGTTTCGCTTGGCCTTCGGGATCGGATTTCGCGGCTGTCTTTGTGGGCTTGGTGCACTCGAACGATCGATGTCCAGCTTCTCCGCAGTTCCAGCAGCCTGTTGTCCTCTTTGAGCTCGTTGCAGTACTTGCAGCATTTGACGCCTTCGCACCGTTCGGCTGCGTGGACTGTGTAAGCTTGTTCTGTTTGTTTTGCTGCTTGTTGTTGTTGTGTAGGTTGTTCTGCTGCTGAGGCGGATTCTGCTTGCTCTGGCCAACACAACGCCCGTCACCCTTCAGCCGTTGCAGAAGCTTGACCACCCGGTCCAGATCATGCATGTATTCCTTGCTGGATTCGTTGATCTTGCTGAGTAGTGTCGACGTCAGCTCTGGACAAGCGATCTGGCACACTGTCTCGAGTAGTAGTTGCGTCTGGTCACCTTTCATGAGACGCTCAATAAACTGCAGATATCGTACGTATTGTTGCCAGGTGTCGCCACTGCATTTCGGAGTGTCGGGTCTCTTCCGTAGCTTATATTGGCTCAAGTGACAGCCGAAGGCACCCTTCAAATGCTTTGTCAGTTCATCGTACGTTATATCACGATCGCCTGTGAAGTCGTGATACGATCTGTGTGCATCACCCTCCAGGAAGTTGCCCAGCATTGACGCCTTTAGTGTAGGCGTCCAAGTTGATCTGTTGAGCTGGCTCTCGGTTCTGACCGCACGCTCGAACACGTTAAGAAAGTCATCTAGACCTGCGCCGAGACCCGGATACACCTCAGTTCCCGCGAGCTTTCGGCATCGAATGTCCTTTGGCCTAGGCGGGTTGGTCGTTGATACATGCTCATCATCGTGGTGAGCAGCACCGTGCAGCTGATCGTCGTAGTTGCTGGATACGTTGTCGTCTGTCTCATTTCCGAGCTGCTGGGCGACGACGTGGGCTTGCTGCGTTGCGGCTTGTCGATCCGCTTCAAGTTTACGCTCCTTGAGGAGGCGCTGCTGCAGACCAATGAGATCGATTGCGTCTTGCAGCCTCGCTGTCAGTACAGCGACGATGGCTTCATCAGACATGGGCGTGGTCGGCGACGCTGGCATTGTTGCCTGATCATCAGGTGACTCCAAGCCTCTATAGCTCTCAGGAGTACTCATCCCAGCTCGACGCTCACTTCGCGACAGCTAGGGTAGCGTTTTGTGCAGCTCCGAGTGCACATTCGCTAGGTTGCGTCCGGGCTCGCGCTCCGCTCGGGCTGCCGGAGGCATCGCTTGGGGACTGCCGAGGTCCGTGAAGTCAAGTCGGCCCCATGTCGATATGACGGTCTTCGATTCGGTCCGCTATGGTTTGGGCTCAGACTTTGTAGCACTTTCAGGAATGCGGGAAGAGTAGAAGACGAGAAGCGTTGTTTGAAAGGTAAATTGAAAGTGAATTGAAAGTTAGCACGCTCCTAGTTAGCTTCTCACTACGACTAACCTACGAGCCTTGCTTCAGACGCAGGTGCTGGTGTCATCCGAAGCCGTCCGTCGTCGCATGTGATGGCACCATTCACGAAATATTCATGCAAGCTCATTCTCATGGTCGTCGAGCAACTCAGCCCTTCGTTTGGGCTGGTACTTAAAACAGTCATCACACTTGAGCATTCCACCTCCTTGATCTCCAGCAGCTTCTCCGTTGGAGCTGCTGTTGCCACGACCTCGTCACCCAAAGTCCATGACGAGATCTCGGATATCCATCACCCGTCGACATAACAACTGCATAATATGTGTCGCATCACAGCGGCCATTCGTAATCAAGGATCCGTGATTGGTTCTGCAATGCTAGTGGGTCCTGTGGGTGGCAGTTATTTCCAGAACCGAACCAGAACCATGGTTCTGATATTTACTTAGAACCTCTTAAATCAGGAACTGGGTTCTAACAAGTTATGTGCTCGGAGGCTTTAGTGTGAAAATACACAGACGTCAAACAGGTTCTCTTTCTCGAGCAACTATTGGACAGTTGCTATTTAAAACTGTGAGCCCGGTTGAGGCTGGCTGCGAGCTCACCATACCGCTTACAGTGAGTTGCTGACGTGATACGGCTGAGTGCGAGTTGTGTTTGAATGAGTGTATTGTACGCATGCGATTGTTGGTGAATATGAGCTGAGTGAGTTTCGGATAAAGTGGTGATCACGGGAGGCATTCCGAAATCATCCTTGCAATGCGACTTCAGTCCAATATAAATCACTAAATTATTATTTTTTTCAAATTGCCAGCTTTCTGCCAATTTGAAAAAAAAACATAATTTAAGTTATTTTGCGCATTGAATTAAGTACTTTATTTTCGTAAAAAGCGTTTTTCTTTTTTTGCAAAATCGTAATTGCCAGCAGCTGATGCTGCACCCGTTTGAGACGACACGGCAAGGTAGGCCACGACAGACGCCCTCTGAGCTTCGCGAATAAATTTCTATCGACCAGGAATAAGCAAAGAGTGGCGAAGAAGTAGTTCTACAGCGTACGCTTCATTCCCCCAGCGTCCAATACCGTAGAGAGACTTTTCAGTGGGGCGAAGCACACACCGGCAGCACATGCTGCCAATTCATCGAGAAAGAGCATTTATCTGAAGATGAATCGGCGCTTCTAGGATGCGAGTATGGTGGCGTGCATCGTAAACACCAAGTAAAATCGAAGGGTATATTTTTGCTGTAGTGCAGTTGATAATCATCAATACACCTTTTTTACAGCCAATGATTTATTTCTTGAAATATTTATCTACACACAATATCTTATTTCTGCTAGCTGGCCCAATATCATTCCAATGTTATTATCGGAATGCCTTATCACCGGTTGATCAAATTTGAGAGTGTGTGCTCTGACCAATGACCGTGCTGAAACTGATAGTGCGGCCTGGTTTCACAGATCGCTGCATTTAGAGGCGATCCCGCTGAAGGTTTTGTCAATTAAGCTCTTTGCGTGTGCTGGTAGCGCCAGGGGCTTGAAATGCGCTCGGTTTGGATCAAAACACTGCCCTCGTGCTGGACCGGAGTTGCCGTTTTCGATAGGTACCGCATGCACATGGTCTTAGCCCCTTGTTTCCGCAACATGGCGCTCAACTCCCTCGGCACCGCTGATGTTTTACTGCCGCGTTGCTCTCGATTGTAAGGCTGTTGTGGAGCGTCTAACGGACAAGTGTACGTTGTTTGTCATTGCAGCAATCTGACTGTCGTGCCGGTTGTGGTAAAGCTTCATCAAGTGATCGTCGTTGCGTGTGAGCTCGCGGCCAATTAGCTTCGCAACCTCGATGTTTGATATGATGATTTCGCTGCGAAATTGTCCGGGTTTGGAGTTGACCCAAAATACGAGCATACTGCACGTAGCTGCGTCTGGACGATAGTTTTGCCAATTTTCCATGAGCTGAGCTCCTGTCTTGACAAATCTACATACGTGGGCATTGTAGAATCATTCAGCAAAGAGCAGCAGGGTGTTGAAGGCTTCGACAATCTCAGCGACTGATTTTGGCGGCGATGCTTCTTCTACGGTGTTCGAGCGACCAAAGTTAGTCATATTAGCCGATCTTGTTGTAGATCGCTGTTCCCGTTCTGGATAAAATCGACGAAAGTGCATCGGCGAAAGACTGCGGATGCCGAAGCTGAAATCGTACGCCAGACGGAGTATTGGTGGCGTCGCATGAAACTTGGTCCTGGAGCCTTGTTGAGCCGATTCAAGTACCGTTTTTGCGTTCTTACCATGTAGAGAAGGGTTCGCTATTGCATCGTTCACGTAAAACTCCATCGTAGACGGTCGAAAGGCCGAAGTCTGCGCCTCATTGACTGGTGGAAATGCTGGTAGGCTCTCGTCGAGGTCTTGTGGGGTTAAATCTGTGTCACGAGTGCGCTTACAAAGCGGTTTATTCTGCAGCCATACCAGCTCGATGTTCCGCGGGTCGACGAGAAGCTTGTCTTCCTTTGCTTCATCGTCCGAATCACTAAGTGTCAAGTCAATATGGTTAGTCCCGACCGGTAAATGTACTATTGAGTTCTCCAATAGTTTGTAATGTTTGATTTGGGGGGGGGCGCTGTCCATAGAGACGTCCACTTGACTGGTGCCTCGAGTATTAAGTTCCATGTCCAGAATGCGTTGCCGACGCACGTACACTATCTCCAATGTATCTGGTCAAATGAGAGACATACGTTCGTTGGGATCGAATGGCAGGCTAAACAGCGACGACGTTACTAATGATGGAATCCCCTTCTACTTTTACCCAAGGCCACAATCACCTCAATATGTCGGTCGAATAGCTCGCACACGCTCATTACGGTAGCACTCATTGTTGCACGAGTGCAAAGCGCGTAGCTCAGCCGATCCACTGCTATCACTGTCGAGAGACTCGTAAGTGATATGTGCAGCGCTTAATTTTCATACCGTAAGTGGAGCTCAGTCTTGCTGTCATGCATTGTATATTCCGCTACCCGTCCGTGCGCCCATTGGTCGACGAACTGATCGGTAGGTTGAACAAATGCGATCGGGTGCCCGGCGTAGGATCCTGGCCACAGCTCCGACTCCTCCTCGCTCACGATGCGGTGGCGCAATGTAGCGACCTTGGCTTCGAGCTCTGGATTTGTGTCGCTCGCGTCGGGTCCTGTTCTGCGCACGAACGCGGTAAGCCCTAGGTCCTTGACGAACAGAAGGTACGTAACGCCTTCCAGGGTTGGTACGTGTGAAGGTCCGACGACAGCGATAGACCCGGCAGAAATCGGGGCACTGGATATGGTAGAAGCAAAGAAGGGGGAAGAGAAAGAGAGGAGGCTGCTCCTTGATCTGCACGAAGAAAACTTGAGAAAGGCCTCTGTGGTGGCCATCGCAAGTTGGTTCGCACAGGTTGTGTCCTTCCTAGTGTTCTGACCGTTGCTACCGTAAATAAAGGTGGTTATGAAACTCCTATCGTCCAATCCGGAAACCTGAACATCCTTCGAATGTTTCCCAAGCCTCATTCAATGTCCGTTTCCGCTTCGAGTGAGAGACGTACGCTTGGCGCGGGGTTCTGCGGTTGGAACGGAGCTCTCGCGTAGTTGTCGTACAATTGCCTTTCGTTCAGATGAAAGCAGAGTCTTCTCCCCCCCCCTCCGCTGCATTTAGACTAAGCTAGTTTCAAAATCTGGAATTTTCACAATTTGTGTCCCAGGGGCGAGATAACCATCCATTGAAACATGTTCATCCCAAACTAAGTCAAATATACCACTTGTAGTAGCAACTGTCATGTCTTGTGGGATTCTTGAACAGCAGACTGACCACATCAGCATTCTTCAAGGCATTGGCTGGGTTCTCCATCGTGATGTGGACAGGTGCTGCAGTGGCAGCACGGGGTGAGTTACGAATTGGCTGGTGAGACGGATGAAAGTGGGGGGGGGCTGCACAACCAAAAGACGGATGAAAGTGGGGGGGCTGCACAACCAACGTGGCGACAGCTTTGGCGAGAACAGGCTGCTCTGTCAATGTACTAGCCAAATTATCCCGTTGATTGGCTCACCGCGCTATGGTGGTCAGTACTTACAGTAATTTTGACTGTTGTGCAAGAACACCAATCAATTATTGCAATGTCCAATTTCCCTCAATCTTACAATCACGAAACGGTTTTAACCAGCTCTGCTTGCAGCCGACGCAGCTCATCACTAGCTGAAAACTTCGAGTAATAAACAACAAACCATTGAGCTCTTTTGTGACGGGGTCCCACGGCACCTTGCGCTAGAGGAAGTTAGCTTCCGAGCGTATACGGACTCTCAGTGAACGGCAGCTCACAGGTCCCCTCTTTATCAAAAGGGAGCGATGTGACCTATTTTAAGGTAGAATGTAAACTGAGTATATTTATAGGTAGATAAAGCTTGGGTTTAATACAAACTATAAGTCACCAATAGAAATGCAATGTCACCAACCAATGGTTGGCTTTGGACGACCTTGGTACCTTGTACCAAATATCCCGGAGAATGACGTGTGATACCTCTGAAGTGTGACGTGTCACACTTCATGTAACTAGGGGTACACTTAGGACTACGTACGATGTTACATCCTCCCCCATTTAGGTTCGGTTTACCGACCTATCAGAATGAAGAGTGTTCGTCACAAACTTTCATTCTCAAAGTCGAAAACCATCGACTTGGCCGCGCGAGCGCGGCGAAGGCTCACTTCACAGTTCGAGCCTCGAGCAGCAGTCTGTGCGCTCTCCTTCTTGGTCTTCACTTCGACCGGTTACCATGCCTCGTGGCACTGCAAAGAGCGGTGCGAAGACACGCTCCAAGGCTGCTGCCGGAAAGGCGCAAGCCAAGAGCACTAAGCCTCACGGCAAAGGCTCGGCACTTCAGGAGGCTACTCAGGTGGCCTCCGAGGCGATCGGTCCCTCGGGAGACGCGGTTGTAAGCAAGCGAGCAAGCAAGCGCTGCGGCCCGTCGCCCTCGGCCTCTCCAGACAATCGTCCGAGCCCTCGGTTCGCTGAAAGTGAGTTCGACTCTGGCAGTGAGGATGAAGCCGAGTCCGAGAGCACGCGCGATGCTCCTGCGGGCTCTGCAGGAGGACACAGCCCAGTGCCGAGCGAGCACA